TCTACTTTACATGATTTCGATTTCGATTACTCTCATTCAAGTTACAAGAACTGATATAAATAAATTACAACAAATTCGGTTTTAAAAAGATCCAATGTAACAAAATTACAAAAAAAAAAAAAACAGAATTATTATCGGGACGATTCAAAAAAACATATTCCTGAAAATGCATCTGCAAAAACTTTTCCCAAGGTTATTATTACCGGAAAGTTAGCATAGTGCTGTAGTGTTCTTGCAAGGTACCTTTATTGATGCTTTTTCTGGGGAGGTTAAGAAACCAACGTGGTGTTCTTGTGGAGTGCATCTGTAAATGCCAACTCTGATTGAACAAGGTAGACTATCCTCATAGGCAGAAGTTCGTCTGATTGGCTAGTAAATTCAATTTAATTTTACATTATTTATACAGTTTAGAGTACTTTTAAAAAAAATGAAAACCAACCATAATAATGTAAAAAAAAACCAGATAAAAGATTTCATTAGAGCTGTAGGACTCCATAGTCAAAAATAAGATCTAATTCTCATCCGTTTAAAAAAATTAGCTTAGTAATAAGTTGATTTTATCGGGTTTTGAAAGTTATTACACACTAACTTTTTTAATGGACAAGAATTAGATCTTATTTTTGGCTATGAAGTCCTACAGTTCTAATGAAACCTTATATACAGCTTTTTTTATTTCACTATGATTAGTTTTCGTTTTTTTTAAAAAGTACTCTAAACCATATAAATAATGTATAAAGACTATTCAACTTACAAGTCCCGGTATAACATAGAAAAATTCATTTTTCAAAAAATGATCTGATTTAATAAAATTACAAAAAAATTAGAGTTATTACCAGAGTGATCCAATCAATATAATCAGTGTTGGCAACAATAGATGAATAGAACAATAGAATATAGCAATAGAATTGCCAACAAGATTATAATTAAATATTAATATAATAATAAATAAATAGAACAATAGAATAGAGCAATAGAAATTAGAATAGAATTGTAATTTTTATCAATAGAACAAGAAGTTGACAACGCACCTGCAAAAGTTTTTCCTTCTCCTGATCCAAAGTTACTATTATGTATTACTGGAAAGTTAGTGTAGTGCATTCACAAGATGTCTTTGCAAATGTTTCAGGAGATTCAAGAAATTAGCGTAATATCCTTACAAAGTGCATCTGTAAATGCTATCTTTGATTAAACAAGATAGACTTCGTATGTCATCTAATTACAGAATTATAAGATCCAAAAAAATTGTTTTCAAAAATACTTGATATAACAAAGTTGCAAAAAAAAACAGTATTACTTGAGTAATTCAAAGAAATCAACGTAGTATTTCTGCAAAGTGCATCTACAAAAGCTTTTCCTCTTGATTCAAGATTTTTCTTGAAAATCAACGCAGTGCTCTTACTAATGTTGGTTTTTTTCCCAAAGAATCTAAGAAATCAACATGGTGTTCTTACAGAATGTATCTGTAAATGCTACCTACAGTCAACTTTATTTTGAACACTCTGTTCTTATATGTAAAAACAACAAAAAGTTCAGTTCTCAAAAGAGTTATTATGTTGCTAATCCGAATTTTAGAAGCTTTATGTTCAGTTTTTACAAAGTTTATTAAAGGTTCGAATTATCTAGATCTGGATTTGAAAGAGTTAATACAGTAATAGTACTTTTATATATTACAATGTTATTAGAAAATAAAAAAAGATTTTTGTGTTCTATGATTTATTCTAGAAATTCTGGAATTTTTTTGATTACCAAATAAGGTGCGATCTGCATTACCCAAATTTGGAAATACTCCCGACTGCAGTATATGCTAACTTGGTTATTACAAAAAGTATAACAATTTATGAAACAAAACCCTATAACAGCCGCAACTTTATATAATTCTTTCAATGAAATATTAGTCTCTGAAATTGAAAAAATTGACAAATCACAATTAAACAATTCAAAAATTATATCAACAATAAGAAATTCATTAATCATTTAAAGAAAAGGACATCTATTCAATAAAAGAATTACAAGTACAATGGAATTAACTATTAATAAGAAAAAAAAACTTATCAAAAACAAAGACAATACTAATATGTCAAAATCACAAGATTCTATTAATATGAGCAATTATCAATCTAGTAATATTACATATAATATAAAACCATCAGATAAAACTCAAAATTTGGCAATATCTTCATAATTTCAAGGATCTAATTCTTTAGTTCAGAGCTTTGTTGAAACAAACTTTTCTTTTAATAAATTAAATTTAGATAGGTTATTTTAAGTATATGCTAAAAAATAGTTTATCTAAACTTGTTTGGATATCATGATAATTTATCTAGAAAAGAATCAAGATAAAGATTCGCAATATCTATATTGTAGTAAAACTTTATTCAATCCATTAACATTAAAAGTTTCTAAATATTTAAATGATATTGTAGCAAAAAAAGTCAAGTATTATTATATAAGATTATGCAAAATTTATTTCTTAGTTTTATAATTTGATTTAGTTTAATGTGAGTATTTTTTTAATTTTAATAAAATTAAAATCTTGAATTATCGATTACTTTTTAAAAATTTATATTATAAAACCAAAAAAATTAATTTTGAGAAAAATCTAAATTTATACTTTTTTATTTATTATTAGAACTGGCACAGACTGCAGTTGAACAATATGAATTTTGTCAAATTTATAGAGGAAAAGGAATAATTATTTCTTATAGAATTGAAAAAGGATATCTATTACATATAGATTTTACAATACTACCTAATCAGATTAGAAGTTTGAAAGATGAGCTGCTAAAAATTATAAAATGACAACAGTATAGTGAATATCATATAGATGCAGTTAAAAGAATTTAAGAAATAGGAGTATCAAAAGCCAATAGCTTATTACTACAAATTAACTATTTTGAGTCATCTCAAGTAAGTTAAAAATTAAAATATTGAATCTTAAATACTTTGATAAAAAGTCAATATTAAATTTTTTATAAATTTAAATTTTATTTTTTAGCCTAGGTATTATGAAACCAAAGGTCTAGCCATTATCTTGGAAACTTTGACTAAAATGTTTGTTCAATCTAAAATTTTAAGCATGAATCTTTGCACATCACAATCATCATCTCAATACTTGGCTCAAGTTCTGGTACCAAAAACTGCTATTAGACTTATTGCGAAGGACTTTAATAATATTTCTTTAGATACAACAAAAAAAATTATGATTGATAGTATTGAATTTGGACTGTATGTTCATGATGATGATGATAACACTAAAAAATAATCAATATTTTAGTAAATAAATAATTATGAAATGAAACATTAAGCTTGATATAAAACTTCATAACATATTACATTTGATTTAATTAAAGTGTATATAGGCACACCTCCTAAGTACAAGTCTATGTAAAACTTCTCTAAATGCATGATACAGTTTGGCCCCAACTTATAAGAGCCTTATATATTTTATCTTCTATAAGTGCAAACCCCATCTAAGTGCATTTTTTTCACTATGGTCCTGATAGGATGCACTTAGAAAGGTGTGACTATATTTATTAATAAATATATCAAATTCTAGTTAAAAAAATGTATTTAATCTGATGATTGAATCTTTTTCTTTCTAATACATTTGATAAATTGTCTTAGCAACAAATTGGCTAACAAATAATGTAAAAATCATAATTGCATATAAAGGCTTTGATTTTTATATTAAAATTTTACAAAATGAAAATACAAAAAATGTTATTGGACAAAAATATATTTGTCTATTACAACCTATGTTTATTTGAATTTAACTTAAGTGAATTCTAAATCCACAATAATTCCATTCTGAAGTATATTAATAAATTAAAATTTTAAATATCCAAAATTCTAATACTTTAATATTCTAATAATTTAGACAATTTATTGTTTTAGTGATTTTTATCTCAATAACATCTTATTTTAATACTTGGATATGATGTTAATTACTATATATGGTATTCGAAGTCTTATTCAAGAACACTATCTTAATTAAATATATTAAAAAATAATAAATTAATATAGCTACATCTCCAGGTGATATATAAGAATTAGGATCATAATGATTATAATATATGTAGTGAAGATGCAAACATTTATCGATTCAAGAGTAGCAACCTTCTTTTGGCATATAAAATTTAGGTAGCTATCCAGTCACGATTGTACTATATGTTATTCCATATTCTGATGTCTGCATCTTTAATGTGAGTTCTGCCAAGAAAAAAAAACACATCTGTTTTTTAAGTATATTATTGATTATTTATCTTTCTGATAAATAACACATTGGGTCTTAAATTAGTTGATTATGATATACAATACAGCAACACAATACACAATTTTGGACTATGTAATTGAAAGCTTGAAGTGCTTTAATTAGAAGGGCTGAATCAGATAAATAATCAATAATATACTTAAAAAACCGATATGCTCTTTTTTCCTGACAGCACTTATATATAGTAACTACCAGAAATTGACAATCTAAACATTAGCCATTAGATAATTAATAAGCTTTTGATAATCAATTCTTAATAATCAGAATTATGACATCAGATACTTTTTTAGAATAAATATAATTAAAGTTAGTAGGTAATAAATTCGAGAAGAATAAACAAAACGAATGTTATATGCCTAGAATTGCCATCAGGTTCTATTTTAAAATCGACAAAAGAAATCTTCTTTCATGAAGAATGATCTAGTATACAATCTAAAATGCAATTTTACTCAACATCTAGATAACAAGTAAAGTCAGAAATTCATGATATTCAATATTTGTAAAATTTTATAAATGTTTAATAATTCTTATCTAAAGAATTTAGTTTCTAGTAAAGCTATCAGAAACTGAAGAAGTGAACCATAAATTAATATTTAACTTTAATCCTAGTTTTAAGCATACTTGCCATCCAAACCTAAATATTCCTAAAGAAACAATATATATCAATAATATTAGTTTGTCTAAAATTTGGAATTTGGACACAGATAATGAGATATAGACAAAATAAAAACTTTCAATGTCAATATAAAATATCAAGTTATCATATGTCTTAAAAAGTAATTTTTCAATAACTTATGCAATGCTGGCAAGCCCTGTTTCGAATTCAACCTCATTTCTAATAAAGTATCACTATAAACAAAATGCATGAGTCTTCAATATCTACATTATAATCTTGTGAAGTATGCTAGCCAAATATCTAACAAAACACAAAGTTTTATATTGCCTAACTGCTTTTAGACCCAAAAATGATCTTAGTACAGTACCTTCACTAGTAGCATACAGAATTCAGAAAGTTAAAAGGGTCATCAAAAAAATTTTTTATAGTTTGATGGCTTGTATGTATGTGAATCAATCACATTTAGGAGGTACAGAATAAAGGCCTGTACTCTCTGGTACAGGATAAAAGGCCTGTATCCCAGGTACAGGATAAGGATGCTCTTTTTAAAAAGACGTGATTTTCACATTACACCTGCTCCTTCAATCTAATTGGCCATAGTCATGTACCTGAAAAAATCTTGTAGCTGAGCTACAGGGGTTTATTAAAGTAGACTTATTATATGAGTGTCAATCACTCAAATTTCATAATTAAAATTTACCTTAATGTGTTGCATATTCTACAAGTTAAAAAAAAACTTTCAATATGATAACACTATCAAATAAATGCTATAAAATAATATTTAATAACCTCAGGCATAGTTCTAAGAACTTGTTTTTATATGAGATCTTACATCAAGGCATTGTATTCTGGCTTCAATATAAAAAGTATAAAGTAGAATACAATCTTGAAATTGCTATTAGCAGTTCTTTGATTGTGATGTTTCTAAGAACCAGTAAGAAACTTAAATATTTAAGTCTTTATAATGAAAGTATTATTCATAATCAATTAATATTTAACCTTTTGTAAAAACACTACTGTTGCCTTTATAGATCTATATAATATATAACAACAGCAACAGATATACTGGTGAAGATCTTTTATATAATATTATTAATTTGACTTCGCTGAATATCAACTCAGATCTGAAGGTGTGAAAATACTACTAAAAGCTCTTTATAAAAATATTGTACTAAATTCTTTAGGCCTTATTGATAATAGGATTGGAATCAAAAAAAAAAAAATTATAGCAAAGTTTCTTTGCAATAACACCATCCTAACTTCTTTAAAACTTTATAGAAGTGATTTAAATTGGTCACTTTTCAATAATATTGGATTAAAGGGTGAAAAAGCACTAGCAGGTGCACTTTGCAAGAACAATATCCTAAAAGATTTAAATCTTAAATATATTGGACTTGGGGGAAAGCATTAGCAAATGCACTTTGCAAGAATATTATATTAACTTCTTTGGATATTATTATAACAACCTTGGGTTAAAAGAAAAATATGTAATAGCAACTCTAGTTTGTAAGAACACAGTTCTGACTTCTTTAAATCTTGTTTCTAATTATTTTGAATTAAGAGTAGAAAAAGTATTAGCAGATGCACTCTACAAGAACACAATGTTGACTTCTTTGAATCTTGATATGAATAATTTTGGATTAGAAGGAATAAAATTATTAGTAGATGCACTTTACAAGAATACCACATTAACCTTCTTGGATCTTTGACAGAATAAAATTAAATTAGAAGCGAAAAAAGTATTAGCTAATACACTTTGTAAAAACACTACATTAACTTTTTTGGATCTTTAGCAGAATAAAATTGGTTCAATTGGAGGAAAAGCATTAGCAGTTGCACTTTGTAAAACTTTAAGCTAACATATTTGAACCTTTTGCATAATGTCCTTGAATCAGATGATAGAAAAGCATTAGCATATGCATTTTGTAAAAACATTACATTGACTTCTTTGAATTTTAAAGAAAATTTTATTGGCATTGAAGGAAGAATAGCCTTAGGAGATGCAATTTGCAAAAACACTACACTAATATTTGTGATAATGAATTAGGATCGAAAGGAATAAATGCATTAGAGTATGCACTTTGTAAGAATACTATGTTGATTGTTAATTGGCATCATTTGCAATATAAACAAATAAGTTAGCAGATGTATTTTGCAGTAAAGGTATTGCTGATATACTTTGCAGTAAAGACATTAATTAATGCATTTTACAAAAACACTATACTAATATTTTTAATCTTGTTATATACTAGGAAATCAGGATTTGATAAAAGTCTGAAGCAAAAAAATCTCAATATTAAGAGATTATAATTACATTATATAATTTATACATTGTTATCCAGCTAAGTCATGTACTACATAATACTGCTAACCAAATAAGAGTAACCCAGTTAGAAAAGTCAGAATCGTCAGAAAGGACTGAAACATAGAAAAAGTTCTTTCTGATTGAAGAAGTGAAGTAAGTAAAGTAGTCAATAAGGGAGAAAATACTAATGTAGTTGTAATTATAATAGTACATGTAATATTAGACAACATTAGTATAGAATGTAAAAATGTATATAGTAAATTATTCTTATAAATGAAGACCAAAAGGCCCTAAGGGAGAGGAACTCTGTACTTTGCTTTATTAAAATAATAACTGGCTCCTTATATCATAATAAAATACATAAACATCTCCTTTGCTACATTAACTAATTGCTAAGTCTTTCAGATCATAAAAACCTGATTTTTGAAATTATCAGTTCTATCTTATAGTATTGTTCACCTCTATCCAGCTGTTATATTCTAAAGTACCAGGATTAGCCATGGTTACTCAAGTCCAACTATCCAAAGAAGTGTGATAGTTGAGGTTATACATGTTGTCCAATTACTTGAAGTAGTGAGGTAATTGAGGATTAAAGTTAGTAGACAGCTCAGGAAAAGAAAACAAAAGTACAAGTAAAGAAGAAATACTTACCTATGGACCCAAACCAATGACCAAATCTAAATGCCTCTTTTTAATTAAGCCAACCATAAGTTATATGAGATTTTGGATTGTGAAGTGACTGACTTGCCATTTTATCCAATTTCAACATATATAGCTTTTATAATTTCAATTTTTTTATTTAGTAAAATTTATTATTGTTGTATTTATATTGAATTATAGTCTACATCATAGTTGATTTGAAATTAAATTGACAGGTTAAGAGATACTATATATTTAATGATTTTTAATATACTGGCTTGTTTAAATATTCTAATTGTATATATATTCATACTTTAAACTGGACTTAAGAGCCAGTTTTATTTTTGTATATTAAATCAATTTCAATATATAAAAATAAAACAGATTCCAAATTTATAAATAAGATAAAAGTATAAGATAAAAGTTCTTTTT